TAAAAAAAAAAAAAAAAAAAAAAAAGATGAAAAATGCAATGCACTAAATGATAAGTACTATTTTATTTAACTAGCATATTTAAATGACCTGGCAGCATATTTAAATGACCTGGCAGCCCACATTTGTGAGATCCACCTCGGTTAGAGAGGAGAACAAAGCATCCTTATAAGGTGTGGAGACGCATTTTAAAACTGTGAGGCTGACGGTAATACGTAACGGGATAAAACAGACAATATCTACTAGTGGAGGGTATAGGTGGACAATTAACAATAGATAACATAGGTAATTTTCCATGACGATCAAATTCTTGGTAAAAAGAACGATGGATGAGGTCTTGATGAATTCTCTCTTCCACGATAGAATATTAATCTCGAGGCATGTGGCTCGAGAGGAATGGTAAAACTTTTAGAGGGGTGGAGAAGTTGTTAGAGGAGGTGAGGTTAAATGCATCTTTATGGGCCTCTGTGAACCAGATTTTTTTCTAATTTGTTTAATTTTTTTGGATTGGAGGCCATTCTTATAGCTTGCTTGCTTGTTTTTCTTTTTCTTTTATAACTTCGACTCGAAAAGGGAGGATTTCATTCATTTACTCTCATGTAAAGTTTTGGAGTTGCACTCGTTTTGTTTATTCTTTCATTTTGCTTGATAAAAACTCGGCTACCCTAAAAACCTCTTGTAAAGAAAAACTCTCATAAAATGTACCTCCTTCAGGTCCGACGACCAAAAGCCCACCAGACTCGGTTTCAATTGAAGCTAATGCACTTACAAGCGGGGTTGCTTCTGCAACTGCTACAAAAGATAGCTTCGACTCATTAATCTACAGGGAAGCAGAATAAAACTGAATAAAACTGAGGCAGTTATGAAATTAAGTTAAAAAAAAAAAAAAAAAAAAAAACTTGTAGTATAGAATGCTATGAAATTCTTTTGTCGTTTTTCTGGCCGAGGGTCCTCTCTACCGCCTAGGTTGTTTTGCTCGTTTTTATCGGTATATCTCAAGTTATCAACACAACTGAAAAAATACATTCATTTGATGAAGAAGGCCCCATCAAAAAGGACACATGAGCTTGAACTAACATATTGTTAGGAATTACGGCTCTCCATAATGGTATGATATTGTCCACTTTGTGCATAAACTTTCATGTTTTTGCTTTGGGCTTCCTCAAAAAGCCTCATACCAATGGAGATGTATTCATTACTTCTAAACCCATGATCATTCCCTAAATAGCCGCCAATGTGGGACTCCCTCCCAACAATCCTCAACGGTCCTCGACAATCCTCCCCTCGAACAAAGTACACCATAGAGCCTCCCCTGAGGCCTATGTAGCCCTCGAACAAAGTACACTCTTTGTTTGACACATGAGTCACTTATGACTAGATCTTCAAGGCTAGCAACTTCTTTGTTTGACACTTGAAGATTCTATTGACATGACTAAGTTAAGGGCATGACTCTGATACCATGTTAGGAACCACGACTCTCCACAATGGTATGATATTGTCCACTTTGAGCATAATCTCTCATGACTTTACTTTTGGTTTCCTCAAAAGGCCTCATACCAATGGTGATGTATTCCTTACTTATAAACTCATGATCATCCCGTGGAACTCCCTCCCAACAATCCTCAACAAACAACAATCCTCAACAAATATTACAAGGACTTGACCAATTGTAGTGGAAATATGCTTAATTCTTAAATTATCCCAAGGGTCCATAATTCATTTATGATTTAAAAAAAAAAAAAAAAATGCTAGCCAAGCCAAGCACAAAGGTCAATAAAGTACACGAAGAAAATTGTGCTGCAACTCACTATGTGCAAAAGACCATCAATCTTCAATGGAGAATTCAGACTCATTTGGTGCAGTCTTTGACCTGCGATGAAGGATACATAAAAAATTCCCAAACGTAATTAGACAACACCAACAAGCCAAATTGAACTGTCTCAAGTTCGCACTCCCAAGGTGAACAAAGTTTACTTGAATACTGACTCACATTGTTTAGTTGCTGCCAATGTGATACGTTCAAATCTGTGTACCCGGTTATCAGATATGGTAGCGCAACGTTCTGTTAGCAGTGGAGTTACGCTACTGGCACCCAGTTCCTAGATAAAATGAAAGGGGCAGCAAGATAATTAGGAAGTAAAATTTTTCATTTGCAACACGGTAGTCTACATTTACTTACTGTACATTTCTCAACAAGCCAATCAGCACGACCGCCCTTTAGAGTACCTAAACAAAGACATGTTAATTTCCATGCCACAAGATGCAGTAAACAGTTAATGATTCCACAAAAGAATCTCACCACAAGCTGCAAATACATGCCACTGTGTGCTTTGAGGTAGAACAGATTTTGGATCTTCCATTGCCAGAATGTCGAGTCCGTTGACACGAACGTTCTTTATGCTCCCTTCAACTAAACCTCCATTTCCATTGAACAGCTCCACCCTTTAATTTACATCCAATTATCATGAAGAAAACAATCAGATAAAGATAGAAGGATCTAGCCAGTGACACACATGTCCAGATAATAGTGAATGACGTCGACTAGTACGAAAAACGCTATAAAAAGTCTATGATAGCATTTTTTGTAAACTATCGTATCTATTATTTCTTGTAGTGACTATTAAAAATAGTACCTATCATCAGTCTTCAACCTCAAAACTTTAGTCATATGCCAGACTTCATCGCCTTCTAGACGAATAACATCACCCTGGATAACGACGAAGCATATGTTAAGACAGCAGTTCCAGTTCCGCAATCAAACCAAGCATCACAATCTAACTTTACAAAATTATCAAATCAAATCAAGCATTAAGCTTACTACAACATGAAATTAAACAATGTAGTTTAGCTTCACTAGAATATCATTATATGACATAAAAGACTTACTTGAAGAAACCAATAGAGATACCATTAGGGAAACAACCATCCATCCTATCCAATTTCATCTTAGTAAATGCCATTATCCATCTCATAAGTTCATAGATACCAACTCCCCCACAAAGAACCATCTAAAACATTCCAAATTTGCACAAGAACACAAAGCTCCATAATTAACATTTCATGGATCAAACGCCACCCCTAATGACACGCCTCCTTGGTCTTCCAAAATTCAGAGTCACCAACACTCCGCTTAACACAGGCTACATTGGACCCCTAGATCATGAAGAAGGCGTCCCCTACACTGGACCGAAACTCCATCCTGATTGGGAACCACAAAAGTGATTATCAATGGCTGGTTGAGCTCAAGGTCTTGCTTCTTGGTCACCACATAAGCAGAGCCAAAGCGAGGAGGACCCACACCTTAGTTGTTCTATACCTGGCCGGAGAAGGGTTCAAGTACCCATTTGGGGACTAAGTGGAATATTAGCCCGGAAATGCAACTCTAATAGCTAGGTTTCGAGAGGGCTATATCGATGTCAGAAACAGGGGAAGAAAGGGAGGAAGGAATGAGATTCTTTATAGCCATTTCCAGTCATTTTCTTCGGTTGGGTTAGCTTTTTGGTAGGAAACGCGAATATGGGCTCACTTAGAGAATAAAAAGTTTGTAATCATCCATTCAAATGGACAGATCGCATTCAAAACATAACACAATCCCGACTCGTGTAGTCACAGTAAAAGCTACAGCGCGAGGAAAATCAATCGGTTCTTAAAATTTTCACAATCAAAACCTCATACACAACTATATAAACAATTTCCGATCATATAAAAACATGAAAAATTACAAGAGAGAGAGAGAGAGAGAGAGAGAGAGAGAGAGAGAGAGAGAGAGATGGATTGCCTTATAAGAAGGAAGAACTTGGGAGAAGAAGCGAGGAAGACCACCGCGGGATTGATTCGAGGAGGCCAGAGATGAAGACGAGAGAGCTCTAACTCCGAAGCTTCTGAAACACGAACGGTTGAATAACTCCGTCAATTGAGGTCGTATTGCCCCAATAGTTCGCATTTGCAAAGAAGAAGAACTATGGAACATGAGGATTGCCGCTGGTGTGACGCTTTCAAGCTTCCAACACTGAACAAGCATGGAATTCTCAGCTCCGCTTGGCCACTCTGAAAACGGTAAAAGGCTCTCGCTGGAAGTAGGGAAGGGATCTTATAGTTAAAAGTATGATGCCACTTGACCTGGGTTCGAACCTTAAATCATGTTTGACATAAAAATATTTGTATAAAAGGTGAGCGAGAAAATGGTTTGGAGACGGTTTTAAAGCAATGTTATAGGCTAAGAGCAAATAAGCAACAACTATAACTTTGATATCATATAACTCGGGTAAGAATCGACAACTAATCACATGGTTTTAATGAACGGTCATACATTTTCGTATTGACATGACAGAAATAGTAAAAACTTAATTACACATAAAAGCAAATAGAAGGGGTTTAGAACAGGAATATGACGATGAACAACACGCACTGTACAAATGTGATTGTGACGTCTAACATTAGGTACCCGTGAAGAACCATGACCATGGGTACCCCTGAAGAAAGTTTAAGACAGTCAACGTAGATTTAATTCCCGAGCTCCCATCGAACAAAGTAGCCGATGTGGGACTTTCATCAAATACCTCCCATGGAATCAAGTGGGTGAGAAATTATTAATTTAATACGACTCAGATGTTTTTAAAATGTTTTTAAAAATTATTAATAAAACTTTTCAAATATTTGTGAAAAAGAAAAAAAGGTTTTGTAAGCAAGGAAAGGTTCCCTTTACGTGGGAAATCCTTAACTCAATCCTCTGTGACAGTTAACCATCGCCGGGCAATACTATGTCCTTACTTGCCGCTCGTTCACCGCCGTCCCTCTTCGCCGTTCCTCAATATCAACCGCCATTTCCAACCTCTCGAACCTGGCTTCTCTCCCATCCCTTCCAGGTTTCTCACGCGCTCCTCCGGGCTTCCAGAAGAGCCTCCAATTTCTCTCAGGTTCATCGGATTTCTCTTCCCATTTATTGACCTTTTTTTCGTGTGTTTTTGCTCTCAATCTGCTCGATTGTGTTCCAGGGAGTTGATGATCCGGTGGATGATCGGCGCAACTGGAACGGCTCGATTGGCTCCGACTTCGACTTAATCGGTGGAGAGGAGGAGGAGGAGGAGGAGGAGGATGAAGATGAGGAAGAGGATAGAAGTTTGGATCTATTGGTTCAGTTTGTTGAGAATGTTTTCAGGAAGGTCTCGAGGCGAGCCCGGAAGGCTGTGCGATCGGTTCTTCCCCAATCCATCCCTACTAAACTGGTAGAAGTTTATTGAGTTTGTTTAAGCTTAATCATTGACTTTTTCTTTTTCTGTACTGTTGTTGATCAATTGTGTATTAGTGATTGGTTTTTCAGGTGGGATTTTGTGTCAATGGGGTGTTAATGCTGGCATTTTTGTGGGTTTTGAAGGCATTTCTTGAGGTAAATACATCGATTTCATGTGTTTTCTTTGCTATTTCCATATGGATTTGTTACCTCGGGAATGTATGGATAGTTGTAAGCTTCTCATTGCAAAAGAGAATTGTGTATTGAAATTCAACCAAAATAATGCTGCTGGAACTGTCATGACACTTGATAACTTGGTTATGCGTGGCAAACCTCAACCAAGAAAAAATAAATGTGAGATTGCACGTTAGTTGGAGAGGGGAACGAAACATTTTTTATAAAGGTGTAGAAACCTTTTCCTAGCATACGCGTTTTAAAACCGTGAGGTATCTCAGACAATATCTGCCAGCGGTGGGCTTGGGCTGTTACAAATGGTATCAGAGCCCGTCATCAGGCGGTGTGCCAACAAGGACGCTGGCTCCTAAGGGGGTGGATTGTGAGATCCCACCTCGGTTGGAGAGGGGAACGAAACATTCCTTATTAATGTGTGGAAACCTTTCCCTAGAAGACGTGTTTTAAAACTGTGAGGCTTACGATGATACGTAATGGGGCAAAGTAGACAATATCTACGGCGATATGTAACGGGCCAAAGCAGACAATATCTGCTAGCGGTGGACTTGGGTTGTTACAAATGGTATCAGAGCTAGTCACCGAGTGGTGTGCCAGTGAGGACGCTAGCCCCCCTAGGGAGGTAGATTGTGAGAACTCACATCGGTTGGAGAGGGAAACGAAGCAAGAAAACTTTTTGAAAACGGTGAGTATCTCTTAGTAGGGCTTCATTTGTACGATTCTAGTTAGAATCTTTATCATTTCTAAATCAATACAAGGTTCTCTTATTGTAATTGCCCAAGCCCACAGCAAGTAGATATTGTTCTCTTTGGGCTTTTCCTTTCGAACTTCTTCTCAAGGTTTTTAAAACGTGTTTGCTAGGGAGAGGTTTCCACATCCTTATAAAGAATGCTTCGTTCTCCTCCCCAACCGATGTGGGATCTCACAATCCACTCCCCTTCAAGGCCCAACGTTCTCGTTGGCACTCGTTCCCTTCTCCAATCGATGTGAGACCCCTCAATCCACCCTCTTCAGGGCCCAATGTCCTTACTAGCACACCGCCTCGTGTCCACCCCCTTCGGGGCTCAGCCTCCTCGCTAGCATATCGCCAAGTGTCTAGCTCTAATACCATTTGTAACCGCCCAAGCTCACCGCTAGTAGATATTGTCCTTTTTGGACTTTCCCTTTCATACTAGTTTTTAAAGCGCGTCTTCTAGGGAAAGGTTTCCACTAAAAATTACCATCAACCGATACGGAAACAATTTTACAAATATAAATAACAAAAACAAATATACACATAACAACACAACCAATATTACAAAAGGCATAAAGAATGAACCTATATGTTATTTGCTTTATTTGCTGTCTTTTCAGAAGTAGCAAAAGGCGCTGGCCTGTTGATGTTGATTGATTATTGAGTTTACTGGTGGTTGTGGACAGTATGCGGTAAATTTCTGTTAGAGATATAGATACTTGGAGTATGTTTATCTGTTGAAAAGCTTCCAGTGAGAACAAGTTAACCATCAGACCAAGATGTTTTACTTTTATTTACCAACACACAGAGCTCTGTTAGTAGGATATGACTATAGAGCCAATCTTGGTGATATTTGGCTTTGTTCATCATGAAAGGTACTGGTCTGTTAGTACGGATTGACTATCGAGTTTGCAGGTGTTTGTAGACAGTCGATCTTTGAAGAGACGGTCTTAAAAAAGGGTCTGTTCTAGGAAGAACAGAGAACTTCATACAAGTTGATCCTAATTAAGATCAAAAGGAAGATACTGGAATTTCTCGAGACAGATTTGAATGAAAAGACAAATTTGTTAACGCATTCTTGTTAAGAGTCGAGAGGGGTTGATCTGAGATCGGATCTAGAGTGCATTCCTAAAACGGCTCAAGCCCATCGCTAGTAGATATTGTCCTCTTTGGACTTTCCCTTTTGGGTTTCCCTTCAAGATTTTTAAAATACGTCTGCTAGGGAGAGGTTTCCACACCTTTAGAAGGAATGTTTCGTTCTTCTCTCCAACCGACGTGGGATCTCACAATACACCCCTCTTGGGGGCGCCCAACGTCCTCGCGGGCACACTGCTCGGTGTCTGACTCTAATACCATTTGTAACAGTCTAAGCCCACCACTAGTATATATTGTCCCTTTTGGGCTTCCCCTCAACGTTTTAAAACACGTCTATTAGGGAGAGGTTTCCACACCCTTATAAGAAAAGTTTTGTTCTTCTCTTCAACCGATATGGGAACTCACAGGAAAGAAGAAAAAAAAAAGAGAAAATTTGTGGAGGCCATACCTAATTTCCAAAGTTTCCCGAAGAGGAAAGTTCGTAAAAAATGTTAGATACCACTTTCCCCTACCTCTCGACTCTTCTCACTAACGAACTGCCTGTGCTGCTATGTGAAATCTTAGGTGATATGCACACTTGGAACTGCAGTATTTGTGAGCATACTCATCATTCGTGGCGTGTGGATTGGCATCTTATATCTACAAGATATCCGCAGCCACAGGCTCGATCAACTGGATGATGATCAGCCCCATGCCTGGACTGGTGCGCAGCCCGCATCCTGAACTCCTCAATCACTCAACTGCTTATAACTTGCAAGGTTAGTGATACCACCAATAGCTTAGAATAATGGGCCTTCATGTTTATCTCATTTTGATCTGTAAATTCTTGTTCTTGTTCTTGTTCTCTGTGTTCGTATAGAAAGGTGTTTTAATCCATAAGTGTTTGAAACCTTCAATCCAGTAATGGGTTATGTGTTGGTTTGGTCTCTTTTCCAAGTTTATAAACTTACTGTTGATGCACGTGTAAGGCAGGTGAATCTCCTTGCTCGGATTTGTGCATCGACGTATTTCAACAAGTTAGAAAACGTTCCTTTTGATAAATTGTTCTTGTAATTCTGAATATAGTTTTGAGAAGATGAATTGATAGAGACGTAGTATGAACATGGAGGAACTTTACGATAACGAAGTGAGAACAATGTGTTTGATCGAGCATTGTTAAAAGGCATATAGATGGTCAATATAATTTTTGCTATAGTTTGTAACTCGATATAGAATACCATCTTACTTGTGAGATAAGCTTTATAGTCGAGAGGGAAACAACTCAGATCATCGAGTCCTCCTCCCTCATATGTATCCACTCTTATCATTATCTTTCCTTGAACAACTTCAACTTTTCTCCTTATGCTTTTACCTTGTTCTTTTTCTTTATGTCTTGCTCATGTTCACACATTTTACTTAAATTGTAAAAAAAACTAAACGAGCCACACATACCCAATTTTCAATATAGTCTAAATTGAAGAATAAGATATTCCTCTAAAAGATTTTGGACCTAACCTTGATCGGAAAAAATGGAAACTAAAATAGACATTTTGAAAGTTCAAAGACTAATATAAAATAAAGTCGAGGTTTATAGATCAAATTGAATAAGTTAAAAGTGGGAGGACTAAAATTAAATTTAAACTTAATTTTTATTATTAAAAGTGGTTTTTGTATAATTTTTTTGATGATTGATCATATGTTTTTGTAGGTTATATATATATATATATATATATAATACACTGCCATTGTAATAGAAATTGAGACGAACATGATGATATTGTCCACTTTCAACATAAGCTCTCATAGCTTTGCTTTGGGCTTCCCTAAAAGGCCTCGAGTATTCTTTGTTTATAAACTCATGATCATTCCCTAAATTAGCCGATGTGGGACTTCATCATCCAACAATGATGACATAGAATAGTGTGACGATTCAAATTTTTGTAGGTCACCGTGAGCACGATTCTAGGTTCAATTTCCATCCAAAATTCTAAATAATTTATACTAAAAGGTCCATGAAGATTTGCTTCTGCTATGGCTATGGTATGTTCCCTTAACCAACCCAAACCATTTCATAATGATATCGAGCCCTTGTTGCAGCTTAGGCTAAAAGGTCTAGTTGTAGACGTAGAACAATGTGACGATCTAGATTTTATGCTAAATGACTTCATGCACTTTTTAAGTCCAATTTATTTCCAAAATTCTAAATTATTTCTACTTCAAGTCTAAAAAATATGCTAATATTCTTTTTTATATAAATAACAAAATTACGAAGTATTTGAAGATAAAAGAACTAAAATCACCTTTAGAGCGGCAATAATAATAATAATAATAATAATAATAATAATAATAATAATAATAAAAATAAAAGAAAAAACGGTTAGAACTTCAAAATCACAAACTTAAAAAGTTAACCATGGTTAATTTCCAGCCAATTAAAATTAATTAGCTTAACTAACCCTGGTTAACCTCCGCTTATCCAAATTTCTCCCTCCTATTTTTCCAACTATAAAACGGATCTTCGTTTTGTTTTCTTTATTTTCCATTGAAACATACATTAACCGAAGAAGGCGTCTTCATAAACGCCTTCGTCTCCATTTTCGACCTTCGTTTGATCCGATTTTCTGTTCTTCGCCGATTATTGCTTTACCTTGCTTTGTTCTTTTGGCTGGAGAAAAATGAGGGAGTGCATCTCGATTCACATCGGTCAGGCTGGGATTCAGGTCGGCAATGCATGCTGGGAACTCTACTGCCTTGAACATGGAATTCAGGTATATCACATAGTAGTTTCTTCGTTTTTTTTTTTTTTTGTTTCATTTGCGGTTATGATGTATTTCAATTCGCTTTCTTTTTAATCTGTTTTTCTTTTTGCTTTCTGTATCTTTTCTTACTGCATGTCTGCTTGATCGATTTTGAATGAATTCGTAACGTTACTTCTGTGTTTCGTAATTTTTGTTTGGTAAAACTTTGATCCTGCGCTAATTTGCTGGTTATTCTGATGTATGTATCTGTTTTGAGTTCCTGTATGGATCTTTAAGTTTGGACATCGGATAGGATCTTGTTAATCCTTTTTTTTTTCCCTCCATAAGTAGATAGTTTTCCCTCCTAATGTTTCTGTTTTCTCTTTCAATTTTTCCGTGATATGATCTACATTTGTGAAAATAGTTCATTGTTTCTCATTACATTTTCTACGTTTAGAAGTTTTACGTTGTTATAAATGAACAGAAATGAATATATTGGGTTAAGAATTCTATGCGAGGGCGAACGCTCTTTCTTTTCTTTTTCCATAAGCATCGTAATGAATTTAAAATTTGAATGTCAAGTAGGCTAAATTTTGTGGCCTGTTTTTCAGCCTGATGGCCAAATGCCGGGTGACACGACTGTAGGCGGAGGCGATGATGCCTTCAACACCTTCTTCAGTGAAACAGGTGCAGGCAAACATGTTCCTCGAGCTCTTTTCGTTGATCTCGAGCCTACTGTCATTGATGAGGTGAGGACTGGAATGTATCGCCAGTTGTTCCATCCTGAACAGCTAATCAGCGGTAAGGAAGATGCTGCCAACAACTTTGCTCGCGGCCACTACACCAGTAAGCATCTCAATTGGCACATTCGTATAAAGTTACTCAATCAATATTGAACATACACCACAGTGTTTTCATGACTGTGTTATGGTAATTGGAAAAGTTCTGTTTCAGTTGGCAAGGAGATCGCTGATCTCTGTTTGGATCGCATTAGAAAGCTCGCTGACAATTGCACTGGACTCCAAGGCTTCCTTGTTTTTAACGCTGTCGGTGGGGGTACTGGGTCCGGTCTTGGCTCTCTCCTTTTGGAGCGTTTGTCTGTTGACTATGGCAAGAAATCAAAGCTTGGTTTCACAGTTTATCCCTCTCCACAAGTTTCCACCTCTGTTGTTGAACCCTACAACAGTGTTCTCTCAACCCACTCTCTCCTTGAACATACAGATGTTTCTGTGCTCCTCGACAACGAGGCCATTTATGACATTTGTAGACGTTCCCTTGCAATTGAGCGACCCACCTACACAAACCTCAATCGCCTCATCTCTCAGGTACATCTTAACTGTGTTTGATTCAGAGAATGAGCATGTAAGGAATGTTGGATCCACCTCGGCTAATGTAGGGAAGAGTTTAATACTATCTCCATTGTTATGAGGCCTTTTTAGAAGTCCAAAGCAAAGCCATGAAAGCTTACACTCAAAGTGGACAATATCATACCATTGTGTGGAGAGTTATGTTAGAGTCATGTAAGCTTACACTCAAAGTGGACAATATCATACCATTGTGTGGAGAGTTATGTTAGAGTCATGTCCTAAATTTAGCCATGTTAATAGAATTCTCAAAGGTAGAATGAAAGTATTGTGAGCTTGCTTATTAAAAAATGACTAAGACTTCAGAAGAAGGGGAGTCGAGACTCAATTAAGGGGAGGCATATGCTTTGTTCGAGGGGAGGTGTTGGATGAAAGTCCCACGTCGACTAATTTAGGAAATGATCATAGGTTTATAATAATAGATTACTATCTCTGTTGGTATTGGTATGAGGCCATTTGAGGAAATCTAAAGAAAAGTCATGAGAGGTTTATACTTTAGAGAATATAGTAGATTCTTACTTCCTAACATGATTTTCACTTTTTCTTTGGTGTGATGTTCAGGTGATTTCATCCCTGACAGCCTCTCTACGGTTCGATGGAGCTTTGAATGTGGATGTAACCGAGTTCCAAACGAATTTGGTTCCATACCCAAGAATCCACTTCATGCTTTCCTCCTACGCTCCAGTGATCTCTGCAGAGAAGGCATACCACGAACAACTCTCTGTAGCGGAGATCACCAGCAGCGCCTTCGAGCCATCTTCCATGATGGCCAAGTGCGATCCCCGCAATGGGAAGTACATGGCTTGCTGTCTGATGTACAGAGGAGATGTTGTGCCAAAGGACGCCAACGCCGCCGTTGCCACCATAAAAACGAAGCGCACGATCCAGTTCGTGGACTGGTGCCCCACTGGTTTCAAGTGCGGAATCAACTACCAGGCGCCGACGGTGGTTCCGGGTGGCGACCTGGCCAGAGTGCAGAGGGCAATCTGTATGATATCGAACTCCACCAGCGTGGCAGAGGTGTTCTGTCGCATAGACCACAAGTTTGATCTGATGTATGCGAAGAGGGCGTTCGTGCATTGGTACGTGGGGGAGGGCATGGAGGAGGGAGAGTTCTCTGAAGCTCGTGAGGATCTTGCGGCCCTTGAGAAGGATTATGAGGAAGTGGGTGCTGAGTCTGATGAAGGTGGTGATGATGACGATCAGGAGGAGTACTGAAGCCTCGACACGTCATCAATTCAAATTATATCTTATTTTATTTTATTTTATTATATAGTTGGTTGAGGATTGTTATTAAGATTGACTATATTGTTAAATAAATCTAAAATTTAAGATATTCTATTATCAAACATTCTTTTAGGCATTATAAATGATTGAGATGAAAAAAAGGTACCTATTGAACCCGTCAAATTTTGTTATGACATACGAGAAACAAAAGTACACATATTAGGTTTTGCATTCTAGTATTCAATTATAGTATGCACTAATATGGAATCGGATAGTAGTACCCACATCGTAGGTTGAGAAATTTTCTAAATGAAAGAACTTGTGCACAAGGAGGGTGTGGGTACATAATATGAAAAGAGGGAGTCGAGAGAAATTTTCTAAATGAAAAAACTTGTGCACAAGGAGGGTGTGTGTACATAATATGGAAAGAGGGAGTCGACTAAGGGTATTTGAAGGTTGAGTTGAATCGAGTTGACGATTTTTCAAGTCCATGTTGTATATTTGAAAGAGGTTGACCTCCTTGCTTCTCTCATGTTACAATCCTCTTCTCGAGCCTCCTTTCTCCTCGATCCACAGAGACAAGACTGGTGCCAACAGTTCCTCACGGAAGAAAGGACTCACCGAGCCAAGATCACTAACTAATACTAATCTAATACTAATAGAATAGAAAAGAAACTTTTTTTTGAATCCAAACAATTTTTATTAAATAATAAACTCAATCCAACTAAACTCTACATTTTTTTTACATAAAATTTTTGGATGGGATGGCTAGAGTGGT